CTGAGAGCTGCAGGCCCAGGGCCAGGAAGGAAGTGCCCAGAAAAGGGAGGCAGACAGGAAGTGGGAGCAACCCCACCTCAGAGGCATGCCTTTGAGCTTCAGAGTTGTTTGAAATTTGTATTACAAGTATGCATTAATTTTTTTTTTGTGTGTGTGTGTTTTATTAAATTTATTGGGGTGACATTGGTCGACATGACCATGTAGGTGTCAGGTGTGGGTTTCTATGTTACAAGATCTGTATATTTGAGTATGTTTTTAAAAATTGATTTTAGAGAGAGAGAGAAATATCAATTTGCTGTTCTATTCACTCAAGCATTCACTGGTTGATTCTTGTATGTTCCCTGACCAGAGATCACACCCGATACTTTGGCGTGTCAAGATGACACTCCGCCCTAGCCAGTTTGGCTCAGTGGATAGAGCAGGGGTGGGCAAACTTTTTGACTCGAGGGCCACAATGGGTTCTTAAACTGGACCGGAGGGCCGGAACAAAAGCATGGATGGAGTGTTTGTGTGAACTAATATAAATTCAAAGTAAACATCATTACATAAAAGGGTACGGTCTTTTTTTTTTTTTTAGTTTTATTCATTTCAAACGGGCGGATCCGGCCCGCGGGCCGTAGTTTGCCCACGGCTGGGATAGAGCATTAACCCTTGGACTGAAGGGTCCCAGGTTTGATTCTGGTCAAGGGCACATATCTCAGTTACAGGCTTGATACCCAGTCCAGGTCGGGGTGTGGGCAGGAGGCAACCAATTGATGTGTCGCTCTTACATCAATGTTTCTCTCTCTGTCTCTCCCCTTCCTTCTCCACTCTCTTTTTGTTTTGTTTTTTTCCTTCTCCACTCTCTTTAAAAATCAATGGAAAAATATCCTGGGGTGAGGATTAACAACAACAACAAAAGATGACACGTGCCCTTTGACCCAGCAATTCCACTTCTAGGAATCTCCCCACAGGTAGAGAAGTTTGTGTGAAATGACCCATGTCAAGGCTATGTACAGCAGGCTTGTTTGAAACAGCAAGACTGGAAACAATCTAAATGTCCACCAAAAAGGGACACGCTAAAAAAAAAAAAGAGGAGGCAAGCTAGATAAACCAGGGCAAATCCACAAAATGGAGTATTATAGAGATGTTAAAAATAACATAGCCAGTCTGTTAAGTGCTGATGTGGAATAATCTCCAAGGTCTCTCTTAAGTAAAAGAAGGCACAGAGCAATGTATACAGGGTGTCTACCATTTATATGAAAAGCTATACACACACGTTTATAAATACTCAGAATACCCCTGGAACTTGTACTAGTTGCCAGGGGATAGGGTTGAGGGGAGCCTTAATGTTCAATCTATATATATAAAAGCGTAATATGCAAATCAACCAGATGGCGGAATGACTGCTTGCTATGACAACACTGACCACCAGGGGGCAGACACTCAACGCAGGGGCTACCACCAGCCCGCAGGCCCCGATTGCCCAATCAGGGCCTGCCGGCCAACCTCTCGGTCCCTCCCCCTGGCCAGCAGGCTCTGATTGCCCAATGGGGAAGGGGAACAGGGGGTGGCGGTGGGTATGGGTGGCACTAGGCCAAGATGGGTGCGAGTGAGTGGGGCCCTGATTGCCCCGCTGGTCGCCCCACACACAGGGCGACCAGCCTTGGCAGCAGGGGGCGGGGCCGGCTGCTGGCAGCTGGGAAAGATTGGCCCTGATCACAGGCCAGGCCTCGGGACCCTACCTGTGCACAAATTTCATGCGCAGGACCTCTAGTATTTTTATAAAACTGAGTTAAAACTCATATAACATGAATCATTTTAACCATTTTATTTTTTTAAATACATTTTATTGACTTCAGAGAGGAAGGGAGAGGGAGAGATAGAAACATCAATAATGAGAGAGAATCATTGATCGGCTGCCTCCTGCACGCCCCACACTGGGGATTGAGCTCGCAACCTGGGCATGTGCTCTGACAGGAAATCGAACCATGACCTCCTGGTTCATAGGTCAATGCTCAACCACTGAGCCGCACCGGCCAGGCCATTTTAACCATTGTAAAATGTACAATTCAGTACATTCAGTGTTGTCTAACCATCACCTCAATGTAGCTCCAATATTTTCATCACAAACAAACACCCCAAACACCACTGCCTCTATTAGCAGTTACTCTCTATTTCTCATCTCCTAGCCCCTGGCAACCACAAATCTACTTTCTGTTTCTACAGAATTGCTGATGATTCTACATATTTCATATAAATAGAATCATATAGTTTTGGGGTCCAACCCCAACAGGTCCAGGGGTCCCCAAAGGTGTGGACGGAGTTGGTGAAGAAGGAAGGACACAGGGCCAGCATTCAGTTGATCAGCATAGCCAGGTTCCTCTAGCCAGGTTCTGTCTTGGATCTCCAGTCATGTTCTGTCGCCAGGTGCTAGTCAGGTTCTCTTGCCATGTTTTCTTGCTAGGTTCTCTCGCTAGGTTCTGTGTCTAGGTTCTATGTCTAGGTTCTATGTCTAGGTTCTGTCTTGTTACATCTGTATTTATACCAGTTGATTCCAATCCTATCAATCTCTATTCCAAAGGTTAGGGCGTTTCTTATCTCCATTCCAGGGAGTAAAGATTATGTAGCTTAAACGTGATTGTTTGTAGTTAAAGTGATTAACTACCCGCCTGGCACTTAGTTAAGGGGTTTTATCCCCTCCCTAACCTCAGGGAAAAATCCCTACCTGGGGAAACAACCCTTCTCGGAGAGGTGACCTTGGTTAAAACACATAGCGCCAAGAAGGTGAGCAAACATATTAAGAACAGTATGCCATATACGCCAGGTCCCTTGAAACAGCAAGGATGGACCGGCTCCCGGCAATATAGTATGCGACCTTTTGTGCCTGGCTTTTTTCACTTAGTATGCTTTTGAGGTTCATCCACGTTGATCCTTTTCACGGATTTTTATATTCCACCAGAGGCCCGGTGTACAACATTCGTGCAGTGGGGTGTAGGGGGGAGAGAGTCCCTCAGCCCAGCCTGCACCCTCTCACAGTCTGGGACCTCTCAGGGAATGTCTGACTGCCGGCTTAGGCCCACTCCCCCTAAGCTGGCAGGCAGACACCCCCCGAGGGGTCCTTAGCACTGCCACGGAGGTGGGAGAGGCTCCCACCACTGCCACTGTGCTTGCCAGCCATAAGCCCGGCTTCTGGCTGAGTGGCGTGCCCCCTGTGGGAGCGCACTGACCACCAAGGGGCAGCTCCTGCGTTGAGCATCTACCCCCTGGTGGTCAGTGCGTGTCATTGCGACTGGTCGTTCCGCAATTTGGTCAATTTGCATATTAGCCTTTTATTATATAGGATTGTATATATGACTATAACACATTTTGATTATTCATTGATGGACATTTGGGTAGTCTCCACTTTTTGGCTATTGTGAATAGCACTACTCTGAACACTCATGTACAGGTCTTTGTTTAAATATCTGTATTCAATTATTTCGGGTACATATCTAGGAGTGGAATTGTTGGGTCATCTGGTAATTCTATGTTTAACTTTCTTAAGGACTGAAACTGATTTTAATATTCTTTTGTACCTTGTGAATCTTATACTATAAGTACCATGACAAATATTAGCTTTTCTAGAAACAAAGAAAAATATACATATAAAATGAAGGTGCACATTTATTTAAAAAAAAAAACTTACTGTATAAATACAAGGGATTATTGCTAGATACAAAATTAGCAAATACTTAGCTAGAGGATTCCTGGGAGAAAACTGCATTTTGGACTTACACTTCAATTTGTTTGTTTCATTGTAGTTCCATTGGTGGAATATAGGGAGACCTGAGTTCAAATCTCAGTCCTGACAGTTATAGCTGTGCATCACTATATAGGTTACCTAACCTCTTTGCATCACAAATGTAAAATACAGAAAAATCACCTGTCCAGCCAGCTGTGAGAGCTGAATGAGTTCTGAGACATCTTATGCCTAGCTCTGAGCCTGGCACACAGCTGGCAGCCTAGGTTAGCAGCCTTATGCAGGCAGGGTTTGGAAGCTACTCTCTTCTATCCTGAGATCTGTACTCTGCAGCCTTTTTCACATCAGCTTCTCTGATTCCCCACATGCTCAAAGAATTCCTGCAGCCCTAACCAGTTTGGCTCAGTAGATAGAGCGTCGGCCTGTGGACTGAAAGGTCCCAGGTTCAATTCCAGTCAAGGGCATGTACCTTGGTTGCAGGCACATCCCCAGTAGAAGATGTGCAGGAGGCAGCTGATCGATGTTTCTAACTCTCTATCCCTCTCCCTTCCTCTCTGTAAAAATATCAATAAAATATATTTAAAAAAGAATTCCTGCAGGCCTGGCCCTGCTGAGCAGAGTCCCCCTCCCACAGTATTTCACCACCCCTAGTGTCCGTCCAGAGTAGAAGATGAGGAGGCAGCTGATCGATGTTTCTAACTCTCTATCCCTCTCCCTTCCTCTCTGTAAAAATATCAATAAAATATATTTAAAAAAGAATTCCTGCAGGCCTGGCCCTGCTGAGCAGAGTCCCCCTCCCACAGTATTTCACCACCCCTAGTGTCCGTCCAGAAGAGAGGCCAACCAGAGTGTGAGGGGACAAGAACCAGAGTCAGGTGCTGGCAATGGGGCCTGCTGTCTTCCAAGGACTACCCTATGATAGGGAGCATGGGTTTGCTCTATGGAGCTATAGAGCTCAGGGCCACATATATGGAGGAGTTGCCTAAAGGAACAGGGAGACAGATTTGGGTTTAACCAGAGGCACACCTTAAATTTTTAATTGAAAGGACATAATGCCAAGCACTGTTGTGTAATTCTACACAAACTGTCCCCATTTCACAGATGAAGAAATTGAGGCTCAGAGTCCTTAGTCACTTTGCACAAAGTCACAAAAACAAATATAAAGTGTACCAAGGTTTGAACCCAGGCCTGTCTCAGTCTAGAACTTGGAAGCTCAGCTTCTGTGCTAAGAGGTCAATGGCCAAGTACTTGACATATGTTAATTATCACTAATCATTACCTGATAACAATATTGCTGTAAGTAGAGCTGGAGGTGTAGCAGTAGGATGAGCCGTTTGGGGCGGGTGAAATTGCTTTTCCCCAAGTTCAGGCCAAGGCTGGATTAGTCTTTGGTGGAGATTCGAGTGTTTGCTGCAGGCAGTTGGATTCAGGTCCCAGGGTTCTAGTTGCTAGGGTACCAGGAGATTCCTAAGGTCTGCCCCTAGAAATTTGGATGTAGTTGTTTTCGCTGGGCCACAGGAGTCTGTCTTCTTCAAAAGGCAATTCTGGTCTGCAGCCAAGTGTGAGGTCCATTGACTTGTGTGACCACTAGGGCCCCTTCTAATACAGATTCTATGATCTGCAATGCCCACCTCAGGGGAAGCATACTGCCTCCTTAAATCCCTGAAGTCTAAGAGAGAATGAGTGCAGCTGCTCCCTTTCCCTTATGAATCAGAGGCTTTTTGGAAGGCAAAAAAGACTGTAAAAGGAGCCTCACTGGCACCTTCAGTGGGGAAGGTAGAGCCGGCTCATCCTCCCTCCTTGCCCCTCCCCACCCCACTCTATGCAGAGCCAGTCCCCAGAAGATTGTCATTTGCCCCACTGGACCCTGGGTCAAGTACAACTATTCCTACTTTCAGTCCCTAGGTCTTTCTCGGAAACTGTCTAGTGGGGCCAGCTTCCTGGCATGCCAGGCAATTCTGCAATTTGTCTGGCGTGGGGGGCCCTCTCTCAGGCTCTGAGAGACCTGCAACTCAGGCAGGGAAGCAGGCCAGAGTGGCATTCTCAGTGACCTTTGGTTCCCTGGGAAGGACTCGAAAACAGTAAAAGTTTAGCAAGTGCCATTTAATCGTTGCCAGGGCCTTTTTTTTTTTTTTTTTAAACACACACTTTCTAAAGGATAAAAGATCATTTGAGGGCTCCATATGAAAATATCTGTGATTAGTTTGGTTTTTTTTCTTAGAAAGAAAACTTCCAAGCTATCTGCCTTTGAAATTAAATAGAAAGTATAAAATGAATTCAGTGCCTGGCTGTGTGACCTTAGATGTTGATTTCAGCCGCTGAAACTCAGTTTCCCCATTTGCAAAGACCACTGGCCCAGTGGTTGGATAGGAACTGGCAGTGGGGCGGGGGCTCTGGCTGCAGAGAGGGAGGTGTAAGTTGGGAACCCAGAATCTAGGCCAGGAACCTTTGACCTGCCCAGACACCCCTTTTGGGTTTCTGATTGTTGTTTTTTAATCTTTTGCTTACTTTTCAGGTTCCTGGCATCCTACTCTCTGTCCCACTTTGGGAGAAGGAAGAAAAAGCAGTTATTGACATGTTAGTATAAAAATACCCCTCTCAGGGATTTTTTCCATGGTAACTCAAGCCTTTCATTCATTCAATATTCATTCCTAAACCCCCTCCACCAGGACCTGAGCTGGGCACTGAGAATTCAAAGATCAGAAAAAGATACCACCCCTGTCCTCGGGGTCCCCCCCTAATTTTCAGCCACATGGAAACAGAAAAAATAACATTATGTGCAGGGAGGGCAGAGACACTGCCTCTTGGGAAGACTGGGTTCGAAGTGAAGTTCTTGGTTCTATTCCTTTGCTGATTTTATAATCACTCCTCTTGTTGCCTTAGAGCCGTGGTCGGCAAACTGCGGCTCACGAGCCACATGCGGCTCTTTGGCCCCTTGAGTGTGGCTCTTCCTAAGCCTTAGGAGTACCCTAATTAAGTTAATAACAATGTACCTACCTATATAGTTTAAGTTTAAAAAATTTGGCTCTCAAAAGAAATTTCAATCGTTGTACTGTTGATATTTGGCTCTGTTGACTAATGAGTTTGCCGACCACTGCCCTAGAGCTTTGAGGCCCTCATAGAACTTCCAGAGCTGGGATCTCATTTAACACTCAAGAGAGCCTGGATAACACTCAGGAGAGCCTGAAAGGCACCTCCCGTTTTACTATGAGAAAACAAAGCCACAGGGAGATTAAACGACCTGCCTGTGGTCACGTAAACTCAAACCCCGGCCTTCTGACACAGTTTTTTGTTTTTTTAGAAATACTGTTTGCTTTGGATTTGAACTTGGGATCTAGGTAACTGTGTGGCCCAGAGTAAAGGAGGCAAGGGGAGAAGGAGAGAGCTCAGGAACTTTGGGTTGAAAAGACCCAGTTTTCGATCTTGACCTGCATCACCTTTAAATTAGCAGTAGGATCAAGGGTAATAATCACAATCAACAAGAGCTTACCAGGAGCTCTTACTTAACTTGTATAACACATCCTTGAAGTTGTGCACTGTATTCCCATTTTACAGATGAACTCGTTGATACTTAGCTGGTAGGCTGCCCAAGGTCACAGAATCAGAGTCCTGTCGCAGGGCTATTTCACATTTTCCCCATCATCCATGTCATCCACTAGTAGCTAGGCAAGTTCCTGAATATTCCTGGGTCTCAGTTTTCTAATCTTTAATTAGGAATAGCAGGAACAATGGGAAGATTAAGTCAGACTGCACATTAACTGCCTGGGGCAGGAAGGCGTAGGTACTTTATAAATGTCAGCATCCAGCCCCCTTCCCTTCCTGAGACCTCTTACACCAAGGGGAGCTTAAACCTGTAAATGCCAAGAAAATACACCTTAGCTACAGCCCAGCCTTTGGGCTTCAAGGTCACCCTCTCTACCCGCCTTCTCATTGCCCAGGCTTTCTTGATGGTGGGGAAGCTGAGGTTAGAAAGTAGCAAGACATACATACCCTCAGGATGCTGGGTGGGTCCCAGGGCAGCATTTCTCAGGAGTGAGGCCATCTGAATCTTTTCCATCCCCTAAGAATAAAACACCAAAGGATAATGTATGTACAGTAAATCAAAGAGAAAGGGCCATATACCCCAGATAACCCAGAGGCCCCAGGAATGGTCCAGTATCATTTCAGCGAAGGGTTATTGAACATCTACCACTGCAAATGCCCATCCCTCATCAAGTTCTCTGCAGAAATGGAAAGGTGAGGCTGTATTCACTTAGCAGGGTTTGTGGATACTTCTCAGAGTCAGAGATTTTCACATCTGGTAGGTGAGACTGCAAGACGAGGTATTCCCAGGCTCAAGAGGACACAGAGAAGGCCCTATGAGAGCATTTGGGAAGGGGTGTGGGTGGGGAAAGATCAGGAAGCTGGGGAAGGGATGGGGGGTGGCCTTAGGCCAGTGATGGCGAAACTTTTGAGCTCGGCGTGTCAGCATTTTGAAAAACCCTAACTTAACTCTGGTGCCGTGTCACATATAGAAATTTTTTGATATTTGCAACCATAGTAAAACAAAGACTTATATTTTTGATATTTATTTTATATATTTAAATGCCATTTAACAAAGAAAAATCAACCAAAAAAATGAGTTCGCGTGTCACCTCTGACACGCGTGTCATAGGTTCGCCATCACTGCCTTAGGCAAAGGGAACAGAAATGTGAGAAGCTCAGAGGTAATGGGAAGCCTGGCACCACGGGAGGAGGGGGCACTGAAGAGGTTGCTAGAGGCTGGCTACCAGGTCAGAGTTGGAAGAGACTGAGTTAAAAGTTCTCACCCGCCAGGCAGTTGGCCAGAGTTGTATACCCTGAACTCTTCTCTCTAGCCCCATTTGCATCAACTGGATACTCACACCAGGGTGGGTGGGACCTTTGCGTTTACATAATCTCCCAATCCCTCTGGAGTCAGAGATTCTTCCATTTCAGGGGCTGTGGGGATACAAGGAGGAATAAGACAGGTGCTGCCTCCAATATGCTTAAAGGCTGGCCACAATCCAGGAAGCTTTCTGAAGCAATAAGAATCCTCGTATAAGGTGTTTCTCATGAAGGCAAAAGAGAATAAAACTGGAAAGAATGCAAATGTCTAATAACAAAAGATGTCAAATTGTGGCACATCACCCTAGCCAATCTGGCTCAGTGAAAGGGTTCCGGGTTCGATTCCGGTCAGGAACATATGCCTGGGTTGCGGGCTCAGTCGCCAGTAAAGGGCATGCAGGAGGCAACCAATCAATGATTCTCTCTCATCATTGATGTTTCTCTCTCCCTTCCTCTCTGAAATCAATAAAAAAATGTATATTAAAAAAAATATACATGGGGGTTAACAATAATAAAAAATTATGACTGAATAATTTTAAGAAATGCTCATGACAAATTTAAGAAAAAGGGGGTTCTGAAACTATAGATCGCAAATTTATGCACGGACAAAAAGATTAGAAGGAAATATTAATAAATTGCTCTCTAGATGGCAGATTGTTTCCTAAACTATTTTATAGCTTACAACTCTTCAACGATGTGCATATATTGCTCTTATCATCAGAAAAGTAATAAATATTTAAAAATAAGCATCAGCTTCATGTCACGGAAAAATACAGCAGTGGGGGTCAATTGTGGACCCTGTGTCATTTGTCACTTCTTCGGGCCTCAGCTTCCTCCTCTATAAAATGGGAACCTGAAGGGCAAGATGAGACACCCTTCCTCTTTGAAAAATTCCAAACTAACTGAAGATACCGGAGTTTAGAAAACTGGCCAGGCGTCTCCTCCCGGCAGAAAAGGGAGCCAAACTGAAGCAGGAATTTGAGGGAAGTGAGGATTTGGATTGATAAGGCCGGAAAAGCAGAGGAAAGAAAAAGGGAGGAGGAGGGAGAGGAGGAATAATCCTGATGGGACAAAGCTGGTGGTCCGCCTTCGGGGAAGATCTAGGGCAGGGGTGGGGGAGATTATGCTGGGTGGACTGCGGCTTATGAAGGATGGTCAGGATGTCTATGGACTCACAAGGTTGGCTCCATCTGGAGGGGTCAGAGGCTGGAAGTACCTAAAAACGTTTGGGTAAAGTGAAGCACTTCTCATGGAATGGCAGTGCCTGCTCCCCTCATACTAGAGCCTGAACCTAATGTTCACAATGGGGGTGGTGGGAAACCAGGGTGCTTCTGGCCTATCCACCAGCACACAGTAGGTGCTCAACCATGATTTACTGGGAGAATATGTCCTTGGGGAAGACACTGCCTATTTCTAGGCCTCAATTTACCTAACTGTGAAGTGGCAGGCTAGGAAGGAGATTAAGATTTGTTGCGGAGACTAAGTCAGGCACGTCGTAGCCGTCCCACTAGATACTCCCGGGTGGCCGCGCTAGCCTTACCTAGCAGGTCGGCATACTGAGGCTCGGAAGGGTTGAGTCACTCGTTTAGGGTCTGGGATCCTCACTGGTCTGACTGACCACCCAACCTCACTCCACCGACGCCGCGCGCCGCGTCCAACATTAAAACGCAGGTGCGGCGACCAGGTTGGCCCGGAAAGTGAGCAGAAACTAGGAGCAGGGAGGCAAATCACGCCCGGCAACGCCGGATCCGGGCCAGGTCCCGCCGGTCTCTTCCGTCCCAACGGAGCCTCTGGCCGGGGTTCCGGGGTCGCAGCTCGAGTTCAGAGCCAGGGGCGCCAGTCCTGGGGCAGCTCCCCCGGCCT